AAACGCCCTGGGATTTTTAATGACCACAGAGAGTCAGGACCTCGGTTTTACGTCTCATCCGAAGGATGGGCATACATACATCAACGAGGGCAGTGTTAGCAAGTGAATGGCAAAATCACCATTCTGTACTGGTAGAAGCATATTGCATTTTAAGTACTCCACTGATTTCAAGCATCGCTTGTCCTTACAGTAAGCAGTATTGCAGTTAAGATAGTATTATGTAGTAGTGTGTACTGTAAACATATCTGTATGTAGTTAAACTAACTGTGTATGAATACTTATCTGTATTGCCAACCCAATCAGGTCTGTAATGTCATTGTCAGTGAGAATGTGTTCTCTGTTTAATTATCTAGTGAAATAAAAGACTAATTCTGTATTCTTGATAAAAGAGACATTCTAAATAATCTGTGTCCTTTGTATTCTATTCTAGAGTACCTTTCAACACACAGTACTGTACTATTTTATCACACCTTACTGATGTGTTGTCCTGTACTGCCCCACTTCTCAGGGCTATGTGCTGGGATAGATAGAGGAGATTAGTTTAAAAACCTTTGGGGGGAAATGAACACAAAAAACTTTTGTTTTGTTAGTTTGGTTTAAAATACTGTATATGCCCCAAAACTATTCAGGAATAAAAGCTTTCATTCTGTACTTTTGCCACTTATTTATGTTTGATATGAAATACAAATATCAACAGTCCACAGAAAATATGTCAAATTTCACTTCCCAATAAGTCCCAATACTCTTTTCAGGGTATGAGTGGACTTTGACTGACAATAATAAATCATTTTAGTACTTCTTCAAGACCCACACTTTCCTCTTTTGCTTGAACCTGCTGTATGTGTTTCGTATTAATGTGCTTCCAGCTCACCTACTGTACCCTGTGTTTACAGAACCTGTGTTTCATCTCTGTGCTGGTATTGCTATTTCTCAACCCTGTATGATGTTGTTTTACTGCTGCTTTATAATGAGTTATTGTAATAAACTGGTTAATACATTATACACAGTATGTTTACACTGTTACATTTTTTATACCTATCAATTATTTTTAATATAACTCACCATGGAAAACAAAAACATTCACTAAATAAAAAACTTTAATGTAATGTGCAAATGTATCATTTAATATTACAGGTGTGGTTGGAATTGCTGAAACCTCTTGCAAAGCAAGTTAAAAGTAAGTTTCAGGTACTTTTTTGTATATATTGTTTTTTTACAGGTTGGAAGTAGATTAGGAAAATGGTTGTTTTTTAACACATATCTGTTAAACATTTTCTTAATGTGAAGTACATTTTTTATTTACTTAAGCATGCATTGCATGCAAAATTTGGGCATCCCTGGTCAAATTGCATATTAAGTCTCTAAGTGAAAAGAAGTGAACACAGCCTCTGCAGGGTACATACTTACACGTGACATCTTTATGCACATTGTAATGCACAATGACGATTTCTTTGCTGAATTTAACAGATTGAAAAAAATTAAACAGTGAATGTCACATGTGCAAATGTCAGTCAGTACTTAGTAACATGTGATTTGTCAGAAACCACAGCTTCCAAACATTTCTGGTAGCCAGCTAAGAGTCTTTCTATTCTTCTTCTTCTTCTTCTTCTTCACAGCCTTAGTCCCAGACTGTCCTGGTGTCAGCTGCTTTGGTTGCTCTTCTCCACTTGTGTCTGTCGAGCACATCTTCCTCACTCACTTCACATACCTCCATATCTTTTCTCACACAATCTATCCATCTCTTTCTAGGCCTGCCTCTTCTTCTGTTACCTTCCACCTCAAATTCCATTACCCTCTTTGTTACTTCCTCAAAGTCCCTCCTCATGATATGTTCATACCACCGTAACCTCGCCTCTCGCATCTTCTCAACCACATCCACCACCCTACATCGTCTACGGATTTCTTCATTTCTGATCTTATCCTTCATTGAAATCTGAAGAATCCATCTCAACATCCTCATTTCAGTTCTTCTCATCAAGTTCTCTTCCCTCTTTCCAACTGCCAAGCATTCAGCTCCATATACTGTAGTAGTACAGGTCTAATCACAGTCTTGTACATTTTGCACTTTAACTTTCTAGGAATTTTCCTGTCACAGATTATTCCAGTTATTTCTCTCCACTTGTTCCATCCAGCTTTCACTCTTTGTTTTACTGCCTCCAGTGTTTCTCCTCCCTTTACCAGTTTTGATCCAAGGTATTTAAAGCCATCAACTTTCAGTTTCAGTTTTCCTCCATTTGTCTCCTCAACATTGGTCATAGTATCTCCTCTTCTCTCCATTACCATTATTTCAGATCTTTCTATTCTTGCTTTAGGAATTTTCTCCACTCTTCCTTGCAGAATTTTTCTAGCTCTGAAATATTCTTAGGTCTTCTTGCACGCATTGCATGTTTCAGATCTCCCCACAGCTTTTATAGGGACTGTGTCTGGGACCATGAAGGTCCTTCCAAAACCTTAAACTTTCATTCCTGTCAGTACTTCATGGTTGAAGTACACACAGTCTCACTGTTCTCTAATCCACACGCGTATCAATACATTCTTCATCGAGGACATTTAACCTATCACTTCTTGTGTTTGGCATGGTGATATAAATGAAAGCTCTGGAAATTGAATACACATACAATAGCAAAACTATTTCTGAAGTGTGGTTGATCCTGAGAGATTAAGGAGATTTTGCCCAAAACATTTATGTGTAGATTGCGGACAACATTCTGGCTAATTTTAACACGTAATAAATACCATGATCATAATTTATGCTCTTTTGAACTGGAGCTTTTTACTTACAGTGTAACTGTCAATGTGGCTATGCATTCATCAAATTACAAAGGCACTGAGTAATGTAAAAGAGCTACTGTTCATTTATTTTAATTTTTAGTGCATGTGGTATCCCTGAGTATTGTGTAAATATATCAGAGTTTTTAAAGGAGTGAAAGTTTTGCACTGTTTTACTTGAATGACAATTTGAAACAGGGTAAAGACAGACAGATCTAAGACGAAGGGTTGTCTTAACTTGTTCATAAACACTACACCACTCAATAAACAACAGGCATAAAAAACAAATAGCAAAATGCAGTTTCATCATATCACTCCAGGACCACTCCATGCCGAGCTCCATCTTTAGAAAATTGCTTGTCAGATCCTAAGTCTTATATCATTTTGAAGTTACCTCACTATATCTTCTATTAACTTCTGTCTAAATCTATGTCTTGTTTTCAAGCATTATAAACAACTTTGCCTGCATTTGTGCAAATGGTTATAAAGGGATGTTGTTATATTGTGTTTTGTGTGGTTTATGAAATAGGTAAGACTGTGTTTTTAGTGCCATTCAAGTAAAGTGTTACCAAAAGATGTTTTGTGAATTTAAATGTAAAACTTCTCTGTTTTCATTTTAAAATGCAAGTATGTGATTTTGTTTCTATTGTGATTTTTCTCTTAGACACAAGCAATGTTTCGTTCAGGTTCATAGTGAAGTTTTTCCCACCTGACCCAGGACAACTACAGAAAGAGCTGACAAGGTCTGTAACATCCTGTTTTACTAGATCTGTTATCAGTGGCACAGCTAGAGAGTCAGTAGAAGAGATGTTAGAATTGATAGTGAGTAATACCACATACTGTAGTAATTAAACCAGAGAATTTCTCAAATCAATCAATGAAAAATACCAGTTTAAAATTTTGAAACAGAAGCACAGAGGCCACAGAGAAATCTGTGAAATGGGATTACGTCTTTGTGCCAATTTGTTAGCCTTACTGGCGAGCTCTGAAAGAAAGCTTCATTGCAAAACCAAATGGACTTGCAGAGCTAAGAATATTTGCAAGAACCAATTTGTTTAACTTAAATTAACCCTGAAGAAGCTAATTTCACACTAGCACATAAAACAGCACAGATCACACATAACAATACAGATTACAGTTTCTAAACCTTCAGAGTGGCAGGAACTTTTTCCATACAGTATGTGTTGGTGGCTTTTGTATGGTTCTGATGTCTGGTTTTGATGTGGTGCTGTGTCCACAGTTAACCCATCCTGTCTGTGTGTCTGTAGGTATCTCTTTGCTCTGCAGATCAAGCAGGATTTGGCCAACGGAAGTCTCACATGTAATGATAACAGTGCAGCTCTTCTGGTGTCACATATCTTACAATGTAAGTCACATCAGAGCCTGCTAATGCTTCAGTACAGGGAAATGTACTCAAAGGTTGTTTAGTTAACATGGAATCTGGAATGTACACATATATGTTTTCTGCTATGAAGTTGCTTTACATAAAGTACTTTTTTTTATTATGGCTTCTAATTTTTCCCCAACTGGGAAGCCTATTCTAATTCCAGATTCGCACCTTCATTCATAGTGAAAGTGTTTTGTAGCGATGCTGCAGTTTTATTTACATACCAGGTTTAAGGTGGTCAGAATCTATTTCTTACTTACGCTTTGTTGCTGACCAAAAATGAATGGATGTGAAACAGGATGTAAGATCCTGAAAATATTCACTATGTACTTTTTGCAGTGCTGCCATCATTTTTTGGAGTGAAACTAATAATAGAAAACACCGGCTTTCAAAACTATTATGGTCTATTGTATTACTAAATAAACAATTAGAAATGCAGTTGGTGGGTGCCATTCAAAAAACAAACGTCAGGGTTGCTTGGTGAATAACTCAATGATCTATCAAAGTCTAGTCATGTGGTCTCTCTCATTTACTCTGCTGAGTGTTTCTTCAGCTTCACAGCAAGCTAATTATGCATTTGTAAAGTTCCAGCTGGTAACCATAGCAAGTTAACAAGATATTTACGTAATGAGGTGTGTTCACAGGCTACGGCTGCTCTCGTAAAACCACAAATCTGAACTGTTTAATGCACTTCATTTCAAATCTGTAATGAACATGAAGGTGCTAAATGAGGTCGAAGAACATAATAATGATAAATGAGGGGGAAAGGATCTTGCAGAAAGGAATCTATTACCATTTAATAGGTATCTGTTAATATCAGCTCTGTGGAGCACAGCTGGTTTTCTCTTTCTCAGTTAAAATCAGCTCCTCAGTTGGGAGAAGTGTTAAAGTGATTGACTTAAAGGTATAACACTCCTATGCAGCCGTATAAAATACAAAAGAGACATGGATGACCTTCAAGATCTGAATATTGAAATAGTTGGATTTAAGAACATCTCAGAATTTGGAATTGTTAATGGTGAAAAGAAGTTTAAAGGAAGCAATTTCAAATATAAATTTAGGTGTGAAACAAATTTGATTATAAGGAACATAATTACAATGAATACGCTAATTGAACATTATTCATAGCATTACTAAGTACTTAATACTTGCACTACAAAAATACAGTAAACAGTCAATCAAGGTGATGCCAGCACTGTTATCACCTCAGTTGTTATGTGACAGAGCCAAACAAGCCAGAATTGTGAGCTCTGTAGGAAAGACATACTGTAATTACTGTATGACTTTGTGAATCAGAAAGAATCTGAATGAATATGATTTCATACTTAGGGTTGCACACATGACAGTTTGTATTCCAATGCAGCAGAGGTGGGTGATTATGATGAAGAAGTTGACATTCAGCAGCTGGAGAGTAAACGGTACCTTCCCAACCAAGAGTACCTGGACCACAAGATCATGCGCTTTCACAAGAAACACAGGTACCTGTGGACTGTGACACTGCCTTTATTCTGTGTGCCCTGTTCCAGGGTTGCTGTTGGCATTTCCAGAAATGTCACTTTACCAACATCATTCAGATCATTGAGATGGACAATCAGCCATATTAAAAACCTTTTATATGAAATCATCACAAATGTATTTACTAGAACCTTTGAACTACCACTTGCTGGGACAAATATACTAAGTGTTTGAAAAAATGTCACTAAGAAATAAGTAAAGATAATATACTGAAAGTAATATTTTAGAACAGTTCTTTGACATACTTATGTTATCTTGCAGTATACGTCCTTATGACTAAAATGTAAACATTCGGATAGGAATTTATTAAGATTGTGCAGAGAGTTATCTTGCTCAAATGAGCCCTGTCTACAGCAAGGAGAAGAGCAGCCCTGCTTTCGAGGTTTGCAGTTTTGAGTGTCTAGTTTCAGTGCCAGACGGCCTCAGTGACTCCAAAGTCAAGTGGACAAGCCTGTGTTTTTGCCTTCCAGGGGTCAGTCTCCCGCAGACTCCGACATCCAGCTTCTGGAAGTTGCCAGGAAACTGGACATGTATGGCATCCGACCTCACCCTGCCAATGATGGAGAGGAAATGAAAATCAACCTGGCTGTCACCCACATGGGAGTACTGGTTTTCCAGGTGAATATCATTTGGCTAGAAAAGTGCATCTTGTAGTCATACTAGTCTATTAGTTATAGGGGCTCTGCAATGCTAATTTCATATTTAGGGGTTAGAAAGAATCAGCATTGATGAGTGCATTTCAAACCACACTGAAAGTAAAATGTACACAGTAACTTGTAAAACCTCCAATTTACATCACAAAATAGACAATATGTCAAGGTCTGTGCAGCACCAGAACAAGGCAACAAAACTTCCTCTGATGTGCACAGCCCTACAACATTGTAAATAAGCAGGATTGTGAATACATCTCTTTTAACTCAATAGAAATATTGCTCTGGATTTCAAGATGGTTTTGCCAACAAATACTACTTGTTAACACTGCATGCAGATCACGTTGGAATATTTCTGTGGTGAAATATCTGCTATTACCGTGACTAGTGAGCAGGAAGGGCCACATCACGTTGTAAGTCAAATAGGAACTCAAATGTGAGTTTGCGACAACATGTACTGTCAGGCGACGTACAGGACTTTCACAAAGTTTACGATTTTGTGCTTACCCCAAAAGGTGTAAATTTGTTCTATTATTTTTATGAATAAAGATTTTTGGTTTGGTTTGAGAAATTGAGACTACAATTCCCCTTTAAACACCTCAGTTATAAATTCATCTGGACAATAGTCAGAAAATACTATGTCAATTCTTTATTTTCTTTTTCTAGTAAAATAACTTCCAGTAAATGATGGGTCCAAAGATATTTGCATTGTATATCTGCTGTGCTGTCTCTTCAGAATTCTGTGCTTCCCTGATGTGCCACTGTCCAATGTGTTTTTTTTACAATATGCTGCCTGTAATCTGACAATGCCATCTTCTCCTTCTCAGTGCTGAATATAAGCTGTTCTACACAGTTTACAATGTTGTGCAAAGACCATGCCTAAAAAACATATTTTGGCTTCTCTTAAGAGGTCCACCAGTGCTCTGTAGCTTCATGGTATTTTATAACTGCAAGCTTTCGGTTCAAGGAGAGAAGAAGGGGTTAGTAAAGTACAGAAAAGTAACACCTGGTCCGTGCTGGGAACCTGACTGGTTCTAATGGTTTGGCTGGCTCGGCAGCCTCTGGGCCATGAAAACATGTTGAGAGACTTGTTGAGAGTCACTTGAGATGCTCTGTCTCACAGCTGGAATCCGGGGTAGAGAAGGAAGAGGGAGACTCCCCCTGACTTGCTAAGAGAGAAATATAATCAACTGTAGAGCTCGACAGCTGGGCAGCAGGAGGAGAAGGTGGAATCGTTGAGGCGAGAGAAGCAGGAGGAGCTGGAGAAACTGTAGCTGAGAGAGAAGGGCAGAGAACTGGAACTGGTTCAACCGAGATGAAGCCACATACAGTAAAAGTAGAAAAAGACATAAACAGTCAGACTGAGGTGGAATAGGAATATACTTGTCGAAGAGCGATTTGAGGAGCTTGGAGAGAAACCAGTCCTTAAAAAAGACAAATTGGCATATCTTTAATAGTGCCATGTCTCTTTCTGCTGTCTTTTGGAACCGCAGAGTGAGACATGACATCTTTGGAGGAATCATTCAGTGCCAAGATCCTTCTTGATCTATATTTCCCCTACATTTTCAATCGTCACCTTGTCTTGGTAAGGGTCACCACATTAAGTTTAATTTTCAAAATTATTTGCTTTGGCTAATGAATTGCGGCCACAAAAAGTACAAACTGGGTACATGAGAACAGGAAGAATTATTTGGAAATATTTCATTAATAGAATTACCAGGAAAGGTGATTTGACAACAATCTAAAAGGTATTTACAGTTACCAACTAGTGTCATAGAATTTTCTCTTTTTATTCTCTTATTTTTACAGTGATGCATGATTAGCTCCAGGCTTTAGTTTGACATTAAACAAGCAAATATGATATGTATAGTGTGATAATGTGATGACTTGTATAGTCGATGATGCTGTGTCTATTTTCCTTAATGCTGATTGGAACATAGTGTTAAAGAAAAGTCCATCTGCCTAGTCTGCCTCCCAGCCTCCCTGTCTGGCCAAAGGCTGACAAAACCTCAGCCCTTCTCCGTATTTCTGAGAGAATGTCTGACCTTCCCATTGGCAGTCACTGTGTCACAGACTGAGGTCTGTTTGCTATTGGAGACACTCACAAATGAGAAGTCTGTGGGCAAAATGCTAAAAGCAGCTTCTGACAGATAATGTTGACTTGTTTATATTCATTCTGTGATTTCTTTAGTTTTTTTGGAAACACTGCTTTTCCATGGTCACTGTGTAGTGTGTTGTGGCAGTTCTATTAGTTCTGAATAATGAGAATCTGTGCAATGCTTCTCAAACACACTATCAATTCTCACTGCCTTGTATTCTCAGGCCATGTTATCTACCCTAAAATCATGCTTCAGAAGAGTCAAAGTCAATACTGTTTTTATGTTTACAATTTTCACAGTAAATATTAGCAGCAGTCTGCACCATCAAAAACTGCGAGCTTGAGAATTTTCTTTCAGGTTTCGGAAGAGTAGATCACATTTGATGAAGCAGGACATGCTCCTATTACCTCACAGAAGTTCTAGAATAGTTTGTCATTATCATAGAAAGGAATAACTTTTATTGGCAGGAGGCTTAGGTGTTGCTGTGACTTTAACTCCCAGGCGTTCAAGGGCTTGCTCACATCTGATTGTGCCAGATGTCCCAAATCAAGGCTTTTGGTTTCAGTTTTGGCACAAACTCTTAACTACGTTGTATTTTTAGATACAATTATGCTCCAATATGCCGTTAAAATATTTGGTATTAGGGTCTAAAGTGCGGTTTGAAATAGCAGTGTATACAGTAACTTTAGTGTTTCACATTAATCAGTTAATAATATTAATTAATAATAATTGTGCTAAGCCCAGTTCTCATTTGAGTCCCAATTATTATTTATGTGTCTTTAAGTTGAATTATCAAACACTGATTGGTAAAATATGGACTAAAATATGTAAAATACATAACATAGAGTGAGATAAAAGAAAAGAGTTTGTACAATATGTCCCAATACAATAAGAAGACAAAAATGATTGTAATATTAGGTTATAAATATAGAGTCAGAACTAATTACAGTACATTACGGCAGCCATAACAGTGACATGTCACAGCTTTCCATGCTGATAGATTTATACAGTATTTTCCTAATGAGTCATAACTTAGAAACACATTAAATATGCGTAGTAGATGAACACTCTCTCTCTCCTTTAAGGAAAAAAAATAAAGGTTATCTTTATCCCCTCTCTTTTTGGAAAACATCACTATAAACTGTTGTTTCCCCCTCTCTCTTTCAGGGGAACACCAAAATGAACACCTTTAGTTGGGCAAAAATTCGCAAGCTGAGCTTTAAAAGAAAACACTTTCTGATAAAGCTTCATGCAAAAATTGTTGTAAGTATTTCTTCTTTCCTTTGCCTCCTTTAGAATACATTCTTCTGATATATTCCTTCATGTATCAATTTTGATTATTAAGATAATTATTAAAAATTCTTCTGGTTTGTGTTTGTATTAGAATGGCAGACTTTAAATGTCTGCATCAAAATGTACATTTTTAATTACTTGCCGTCTCAGAGAGTAAGACATAAAGAAACGTAATTTTGCTTGAATTGGCCATTAATTTTTCGTCAGTTTACACCCATGCTGTCATATACTGTAAGGTGACACACACCAATTTTCTGAAACATCAGTTAATTTATCTTTGTCACTCAGTGATCTGACATGCTCAAGAGCAGAACTCCAGTATCAGACAAGGACTGAGACCAGTATGATCTGCCAGCATTCAGCACTTCATTACTTAAGTAATGCCAATCACTGTCAGCTGAGGGCACAGGCCAGGTTCAGACTGCTAGATCTTGTCTTCCTCTCTGAGCTGAGACATTTACTGAGCAAGCCTACTGAACCTTCCTGATAAGAGATTTTGATATGAGTTGTACCTTGAAGCTGGAAAAAAGCTGGAATGATATAGTCATGCTATACTGTATGTGAAGTGCAGTCTTATCCACACTGTTTGTCCACCAGGTGTCACTGTAGGGCCAGTGACAATGCAGATAGTTGCACTAAACTAGCGTTGCACGTGGTGACCCTTTTTAGAGAAATCCAGATTCCCCTTTTTGTCTGTGTTGATACCCTAACAGTCACTGAGTAGTCAGAAGAACAGAAATGGGGCTCCCTCTTGTTGAATATGTTTTACACATTTAACTTTATCTGAAAAAAAGTATATTGTTCTCCATGGACAGCCATCCCGTAAAGACACAGTAGAATTCACCATGGCTAGCCGAGACATCTGCAAGGCCTTCTGGAAGATGTGTGTGGAGTACCACGCCTTCTTCAGGCTTTCTGAGGAGCCAAAGTCCAAGCACAAGTCCATCCTCTACAGCAAGGGCTCTTGCTTCAGATACAGGTTGGTGTAGACCCTGAACATGCTCTGCAGCCCGGTAGTGTGTCAGGAGTTGATGGGAAAGCTCCTGACACCCTCAGTCAAACAGCCAGCCAGGGCATTTTTCTGTCTTACACTAAGACTATGAAATGCTCTTGCTAATTCTGCTATAGCCTTTAAATCTATGTTCATTTTTTTTAGTGACCTGCAGTGTGATGATAGGTCAGAGCGCAGTTCTCAGAGCAATTCTTTCTATTGACGAGTTTAGAGAGAGAGAGCTGATGCAGGCAGGTGGAAGGAAGACAGCCTTTTGAAGAACTGTCTAAGAAAAGCGAGGCTCTCGGGCAAAACAGAAGGAGGAGTGAGGATGGCAGGCCGGAGCCGTAAAAAAAATAAGTCAAAGGGAAAAAAACACCGAAATTACCAGTGGGAAAAAATGAGAGTGGTGGCAGACTCCAGAGAGGTTTTCCACTGGGTCATTGCCCAGTAGGAAAAGGGGAAAAAAGGTTAGTTTGGATTTACTAGCCGAAAGGGAAGCGAACACGAGCACAAGCGCTAGGAGCTCAAATCACGGAGCAACAATATTTTT